AATGCATGATTTTTTGTTTTGAATTTTAAAAAATCGTTTTTATAGGAATATAGTCATAGGTTACGTAAAAAATAAATAAAAAAATTTAAGTAAAAATAATATTGAGTATTTATTTTGAGAAAAAGTTGTATGTAGACTTTTGGCAACAATATGCGTTTATTTCTAAAATTATTGTAGACGTAAACAAATGTGGTCATGTATTTATATTACCTATTAAATAAAATTTTCAAATGCAACATCAAATATTCATAGCTTATCTGACAACAGATGAGAAGTAATTTTTTTTCAATTAGATAAATCACTCCTTTATAGGAAACTCGAAAAAAGAAAATATCTCTCCAAGTAACACATTGAAGGTTATCACCCACCACATTCAAATGTCAAAAAACATATAACTTACTCGCCAAAAGTATTGTCAAGTCTTTTATTTCACACATGGTCTATTGTCTATTGTTATCAACGTGTGTTCGGAAACGCACATACCCAGGTTTTTGAATAAAATTAAGTGGAACTGGAATGTAGACAATTGGCAACAATATGCATTTAAGGGTTAAATGCGGCTGTTCGCACGTACCGATACGCAAGGACGCAAATGTGTTGAGCTCGTGTGTCATTTCCACTACTTTTGACGAAGTTTTCTGGGTTTTCGCATATTTTTGTCGGTTATAGGTGGTTCATCTGGATATTCTTGCAAACCTCGATAAAGCTTAACGAAAACTGTCGTTCCCAGTTGATTTGATGCGGAAACAGTCGTTTTTAAACATTTTATATCGTTTTTTACGTCTTTCCTGCGTTTTTCCAATTTTTCCGACGATTAATGGTGCTTAGCTTAGATATTCATACTTAATTCCATAGAACTCGTTAAGATCTAGCGATTCCATTTCGTTCAACTCGAAAAGAGTGAGTTTTATCTGTTTTACAACGTTTTTGGAATTTTTCCGTGTTTTTCGCCGTTTTGCAGAGATGTTTCAAATTTTTCGCGTGGTTATGATGATTTTACCATTTTAGCTCGCACATTCTTGTTTTTTTTCAATTAATGAGATCACCAAAATGCGTTTTTCATCGATTACAAGATGCAAGTGTGACAGCTCGTGTGTGATTTCGATCACATTGACAAAGTTTTGCAGTTTCTCGCATTTCCTTGCGCATATATATTCCCTCGCATCCTTGCATATTTCGATAGATTTTTACAAGGACTATCGTTTCCAGATGATCTGAAGCAAATACAGTCGTTCTTAAACCCTTTACTGCAATTTTTCATTTTGTTTGGCGTTTTAAGATATTTTGAATATCCACCCTTAATTCGATAGAAGTTGTTCGGATTTAGCGTTTCCATTTTGTCTTTCTCAGAGAAAGAGTTTAAGCGTTTTAGCGTTTTTTTAGCGGTTTTCACCGTGTACCACCAATTTGACATAGTTTTGCGGTTTTTCACATTTTTCTACCGATTGGAGGCGGTTGACTAGAATATTCTTGCATATTTCGACAAAACTTAAAACGAACTACAGCACAGTGATAGCATTTCCCAAAAGTTGGCTAAAATACAATTTTCGAAGCATACAGTAGCCACAGGCTGTTGTGCTATTTATGTCGTATACATTTCAGAGCGTTAAAGTTGTCGAATTCTCGTGCTTCGTAATACCCCAATGATGGTAACATCTTCAACATGTCAAGCTAAAAAGTTTATCCTTAAAGAAAGCTTTATAAGATCTTACCATTAAAACGTATGTCATCAAAATCCACCCTGCATATAAGCAACGAAAAATACTTTCGAATTAAGTCTTGTGCTTTCCTCCTCAGTATGTCCTAAATCGTTGTCATATTATCATAATATATTATAATATGACAACGATTTAGGACATACTGAGGAGGAAAGCACAAGAATTAATTCGAAAGTATTTTTCGTTGCTTATATGCAGGGTGGATTTTGATGACATACGTTTTAATGGTAAGATCTTATAAAGCTTTCTTTAAGGATAAACTTTTTAGCTTGACATGTTGAAGATGTTACCATCATTGGGGTATTACGAAGCACGAGAATTCGACAACTTTAACGCTCTGAAATGTATACGACATAAATAGCACAACAGCCTGTGGCTACTGTATGCTTCGAAAATTGTATTTTAGCCAACTTTTGGGAAATGCTATCACTGTGCTGTAGTTCGTTTTAAGTTTTGTCGAAATATG